TTTTTTTTTTTTTTTTTTTTTTTTTTCCCCGGGAAGGCTAAACTCAGCAGGGGGGAAAAAATATATATGGCTCAAATGCCGCCCCGCAGGCTGCTTCAGCGCGGCAGAGGGGCTCGGTGCGGGGCGCCCGGGCCCCCACGTGCCCCATAACCTGCTCCCCGTCCCTCGTGCCCCATAACCTGCTCCCCGCTGCCCTCTCCTCCCTGGAAAGCCGCTCTCGCCCAGGACTTTCGGGACAATAAAAATAGCTAGAAGATGCTCACCTGGAAAAATTGACATAAAGTTCTGTTTTTTTAAATCTTACTTGTGGTTCGTGTTTGTCACGGAAAAAAAAAAAAAAAGATGTACTTCATGTACTTAGATGCAAGTTAAATTTTATTTAGAAAGTCCAGCGTGGTGGCTGTGCTTGCGTATAGAACTTCTCAGGGGCTTGTTTTGAATGGACAAATGGGCAAAGGCTTCAGTTTGCTGAGGTGCACGCAGTGAGGCTAGTGCTTTTACCACGACATAGTCCTGTTTCCAGTGCTACAGAAGATGCAGCCTTTTAAACAAAACATTCTCCATCATAAACTTTGCTCCAAATTCTGCTCGGGGTGTCTTAAATCTGTAGTCCTTCAGAGGAGCATATACCAGACATTTATCCAAGACTTGAGTTGAAATAGTTTCACCTTGATAGCACCTGGAAAAGGAAGTGGTTTTGCCCTAATTAGTACTTTTTTTTTCTCTTTTTTTCCAAAAGGAAGGAGTGTGTGTGTAGTGTATTTTATCTTTGTGTAAGTACTTGCCATGCAATTTTAGAATGGCAGTGTACAGCATTACCATCTTCTATGACATTTCTTTTAGAATGACAGTGTGCAGCATTACCGTCTTCTATAGGTTATTTCTTTGTACTTAATACATTAAAGTCTTGATCTTTCAAGCCATTTATATGTCTGAAGCTATTGATATGAATCACTAAGGAAATGCAACTCAGGAATATGTAGTCAAATAGCATTTGATTGTCTTGGTAATGGGCTGCAATGTAAGATAAGTAAATAGATGTATTTGAAGTTGATAACACAATTCACATAATTTATTCCCCTCATAGTAATAGTATAACATTATTTCTAGTGTCTGATCTATGCAAGGTTTACTTTGCTTTACATTGTCAACTTCAAATAAGGGAAATGCTTAAGCAAGGGTGAAATTTACTTACCTGAAAAGTCATGCAGACTTCACTTGTGTGTTCATGATTGTGTAGCATACATAATACTTAAGCATCAGAATATTTTTGCCATGAAGTGGCATTCCCTTTTCAGAGAGAACAAAACAGTGAATATGCTCTCATAATAGGTGCCCAAGTTAGGCTACTTTTGTTTTTTCTCTGGAATGTTTCAAATCAGGAGCTGCTTCAGTGTGCCTGGTCCTTGCTGCCCCGTGTTTCGCTGTCCCCTGTCGGGCGGGAGAAGGGAATTGATGGGATCAGGAGCCGTGAGCATGGTCGGCTGCCTGCAAGAGGCCGCTCTCGTGTGCAGGGACGAGAGTCCATGGGCCGGGCTTAGGGTCCTGGGATGTGCCTGGACACCCTCCTCTCTGGGCCTTCCATTGCCAAACGTGCGTCTGTCGCGTGACAGGGCTGAGTTTATTGCATGACTGGCAAAAAAAAAAAGGCAAAACCAGCCTGTTCTTGATGGTCTTTGTTGAAGTCAGCAGCCTGAAGCGGGTAGCAGCGAATACTAAAGGGAATTGGGATGTACACAGTAATGTGCCTAAGCCTGCGCAAGGCTTGGGAGGAATGCAGCGCAGGTAATGGCCAAACTAATGTTTTCTCTTGAAAAAACTGCCTGTGCTGGCACTTGTAAACACACTGACAGGGCAGTGAACCCTGTGGCTCTGCGTTGCTGAGGGAATGCAGCAGCTGGGTCCACAGAGCAGTTTAGCAGCAAGGACTCACAGCAGGGTGTTAAACAGGTGAGAACAGATCTTGTACTCGTTCAGCTGGACCGCTGGTTTGACCAAAGGGCGGGTGTCCTTG